AGAATAGATAAAGGAAAGCAGTGGATGTAGTATATTTGGATTTTCAGAAGGCATTTCATAAAGTACCACACATTAGGTAACTTAATAAGAGCCTGTGGTGTCGGAGGTAGTACATCAACACGGATACAGGATTGCCAAAATAATAAAAGACAAAGTTGGCATAAAGGGGGCATTTTCAGGAAGGCAACCTGTAATTAGTGGAGTGCCACAATTAGCTGGGGCCACAATTATTTACAATATAAGTTAATGATTTAGGTGAGTAGCTTGAATGTACTATAGCCATGTTTGTGGCTGACACAAAATTAAGTGAGAAGACAAGTGGTGTAGATGACACAAAGAGTCTGCAGAGGGATATAGATAAGTGCAGTGAGTGGGCAAAAAATTGGCAGATGGAATATAATGTGTGGAAATGTAAGGTTACGCATTTTGGCGGGAAGAATAGACGGGCTGATTATTATTTAAGTGGAGAAAGACTGCCGCAAGCTGCATAATAGCAAGAATTATGAGTCCTGAATCATGAATCACAAAAAAGCTTGCATCCAATTTCAGCAGGTAAGGCAAGTGGAATTTTGGTCTTTATTTCAGAGGGAATTGAGCACAACAGTAGCGAGCTTTTGCTAAAACTTGTGATTCTGTGGAATTCTTTACCACAGAGGATTGTTGAGGTTGGGTCCTTATGTATATTCAAAGCTGAAATAGATTTTTTAATCAGTATGGGAATCAAGAGTTATGGAGAAAAGGCAGGAAAATGAAGGTGAGGATTATCAGATCAGCCGTGGTCTCACTGAATGGCAGAGCAGATTTGACTGGCTGAATGACCAATTTTTATCAATGGTGGATTGAATCAACAAAAGATGGAAGGTGAAATGAAAAGGAAAGTTTAAATAGCAAAGTGAGAATATGAGAATAGAATGACAGTTACCATAAAAGGGAATCTAAGAGTCATCTACAGCTTATAACAAGTTAGGTGAGGTCTAATAGGGATATTGAGGGTGATGTAATTATTTTGATCAGTATGTTCAGCTGTACTTCCAGGGCGAGTGGGACTTGAACTCAGACCTTCTGGCCTAGAGTCTGGGGCATCACCATTGCACCACAAGATCAACAAGATAATGTAAGTAATACAGGTTTAGAGGCGCAAGCCAAGGCTATAATACTAAATGAATATTTTGTGCTTATTCAGGTACATGATTTTGATAAAATATCTGCAGAAGTGGAAATTGTACAGGTAATGGATAGGGTGAAAATTATGAGGCAGGATGTACTAAAAAGGCTGACTATTCTTAGACTGGATATGTTGCTTGGCCTGAATGGCTTGTAGCTTGGGCTTTTTTAGGGAAATAGGGTTGGGGATAAAGAAGGAAAAACATAAACAAAAACTCCAGTCTCTGGACTCAAAATACTAACTGTATCTTTCTCTCTACAGATGCTGTCAGACTTGAGTTTCTCAAACACTGTCTGTTTTTGTTTGAGATTTCCAGCATCTGCAGGTCTTTGTTTTATATTATGGGGATAAAGGAAGGGCTTGTTATAATCTTCCAATCTTCTCCAGAATCTTGTTCTGTACACACATGTTTTGGCACAATCTGGAAAACTGCTGAGTTGGAAATATTACATCCTTATTGTACACAGGATGTGAGTAGAATATTAGAGTTTAAGGTTAGGGCAGGGTTTTTTTTTGCTAAATTAGAAGCTCTTAAAAGGACAAATTCATCTTAAAGAACATGGTGAAGGACCATCACTGACAGCCAGTTACAAACTGAGCATAACTGGGAGATAAATATTCCAGGTTATGAGGTCTTTAGGAAAGATATGAAAATTGAAAATAGAGGAACTGCAATATTGATAAGAGACATTATTAAAAGATTAGGGAGGTGTCCTCTGAATATCAAGCTTATAGTTTCTGTGTTTTAGAATATAGCTGTTAGTTTTAGAAATAAATGTTTTGCTTGGAGAAAATTGGATATCTGGTTAAAAAACTGGTAAAAGCAGCTGTGCAGTAATTGCAATGAAAACAAATTTGAAATCTATTACACTTAAATGTTTGAGGTGATGTTAGTTTCTGAAACCAACAGTTTGGAAGGTAGGATTATAAAGCAGCAGGTGGGATTACTTAACCAAAGAACTGCAAATGTGATATCTACAATCCTTACAGTAAGGGCAGTCTGGAGAAATGTTCTTGTTTTAAAAGTTAGAGCTAAATTAGTTTAAAAGTATTCAATGAATCTTGAAGGATTTGTAAAATCTATTTATTTCATCAAAACAAGGAAGACATTTTAAGACATGGATACTTAATATTTTGTTTCAGAGCTCCTTCAACATCTATGTTGACATGGAGTTGGGTGGAGGTCAGGTTCTCTGGTTTCAGTTTGTTCAATGTTTGGTGAGTGAGTTAGTTGCAATTTGTAACTCACTGATAGAAAATATCCAATGTAACTAACCATGTTAGGCCTGCACTGTAAACAAAGAAAAAAAAACTTTATTTGCTCCACAGAGTGTGAATAGGGTTTCATCCATGTGTAAATTTCATAAGGAAGAGAGAGCTGGAAGATTGCCTTTTTGAAGATAGCGAAAAATCTACAGTGGTCCTCAGAGTATTTTGCCAAAAGAAAGTATGCAGTAGATTAGCTTGGAAGAACAAGGGACTGAGGCATTCAGAGTCAAGAGGTAGTAAATGAAAATTTTACCTCCTAAAAATAATGAATGCTTTGGGTTCAACTCCCACCATATCAGCTGCTGGAATATAACTTCAATTAATCAATGAATCTATAATTGAAACTATTGACTGTGAAGCTATTGTTGAATGTTGTAATACCCCATTTGGTTCACTAATGTGTTTTAAGGAAGAGAATATCCCAATCATAATCTGGTCGGAATTAAATGTGACTCTAGATCTATAACAATAATGGTTGACTCTTCATTAGCCTGTAAAGTGAACTGGCAGGACATTCAGTTCAAAGGTAATTAGGGATGGACATTAAATGATGGTCTTGTCAGCAACAGGGTTAGGACTGGGTCCCAAGAAAAGAATAGGAAAACATTGATCCATGAGGGAAATGATACACAGTATGAAACTGGAAGAGTTTATAAAAAGGCAAAGAACAGTAGAACAGCTTCCTGCATTTTGCAAAATGTACAAATAACTGCTAATGGATATAAGGAAAATGGTAATAGCTGCAAAAAGAAATGAGACAAAAAAGCTTGTAAGGAATGTTGATAACGTTTCTAAAGGGTTTTACAAATATTTTAAGAGTGTTTAAGACTAATATGAGCAGCTAAACAACAGATGCAGGTGTTACTGTAGTCAGAAAACAGGAAAAGATAGGCACACTAAATAACTACTTTTGAATCATTCATCATAGTAGAGAATGCAGATAGAAACCAGATTACAAGGAGAGCTAAAAATAAATCAAGTAAAGGTACTAGATAGCAAGGCGTAGAGCTGGATGAACACAGCAGGCCAAGCAGCATCAGAGGAGCAGGAAGGCTGACGTTTCGGGCCTAGACACTTGTAGACCCTTTTCTGAAGAAGGGTCTAGGCCCAAAACATCAGCCTTCCTGCTTCTGTGAAGTAGGTGAGCCAATGTTCATTTGTCTTCCAAAACTTTTTGATGCAAATATTGCCCCTCAGATTAGTAAATTACCAATTTCATCCAGTATTGAAGGAGGGAAAGAGAGATGAATTAGGAAACCAAAGCTTGTTAGTCTAACATCAGTTGTGTGCAAGTTACTTGAAACCTTTAGCTTATACCTTGAGTGCTGATGGACAGTGCAGGTATTTTTAACTTATCTTGTTCAAACCTCTGGAGTAAAAGAGATTTGAATTTGATCCTGCTGGGCAAGTTATTAGAATCTGTTACTAAAGAAAATGGAATGAAAATTTGAAAAACACGAGCTGATCAGACATACCCAGCATGAATTTGTAAATGGCAATAAATTTGTCACAGCCAGTACACTGTGCACATGTAAATAAAAAGTGACTTGGTGATGGGATACCGGCCTCTGAGCAGTTATTTCAGTGGTGACAGAGAAAACAGTACATGCCTGAAGATCATTTGCTTGCAAGAGTTATCTTTGAGTTGGGATAAGCATTTCTGGCATCATGCCTTTATTTGGGAAACTTAACTCGTTCGATCCTGCTGCCGAAGACTGGGCCCAGTATGTGGAAAGAATGCAATATTTATTCCGGGCAAATGACATTGGGTCAGATGAGGAGATGGTTTTCTAGGAAGTGCCAACCTCCTGAGAGACTAATCATTTTGATGTAGTCTATGGATGGATGTCTTGCATAAGGGCAGAAATTGCTGGAAAATCTCAGCAGGTCTGGCAGCATCTGTGGAGAGAAAGCGGAGTTAATGTTTTGGGTTGAGTGACCTTTCCTCAGAACTATTGATACTCACTTGTTTCGTACTTTTGCTGAGAAAGGGTCACTCGACCTGAAATGTTAACTGATTTCTCTCCACAGATACTGCCAGACCTGCTGAGCTTTTCCAGCAATTTGTTTTTGTTTCTGATTTCCAGCGTTCACAGTTCTTTCAGTTTTTATCTAATTGTGTAGTGTGCCTAGTCAATCTCCTGGTGTACGCAACAGTAGACAAACACAATGAAAGCCACCGGCAGCCCTTTTCTGAAAATTACAGTTCAGGTGGCCTAGTGGTCAATCTCGCAAAGAAGGAGTTGGTCAAAGCCCAAGTGGCCTATTTTGTGTACCAAACCAAGAAACAATTCGTCTGATTTTTCTCGTAGTAAATTTGCTTTGATATCATTGCTGCAAACGGACACATATTACAGAGAATCATTTAGTGATTCAGTGCGAAACAAAGTGTTTACCTCCGAACATGGCTTAATATAACTAATCGGAACGGCAGATTGGATGAACAATGTATCTGGTGTGATTGGTTGGATGTGGCCAAATATCTGATTGGATTGGTCAATTTTGGCCACACCCGTGTTTGCGATTGGCTGGAATAGACAAAGTCTGTGATTGGCTAAAGCGGGCGCGGGCCGCGACATTTGTGAATGAAGGAACAGAGGTGTACTCGGTAGAAGCGAGATTCAGCAAAAGTACGAAACAAGTAAGTAATCGTTCGGGAATTCGCTTCAATCAGCACTGGAACCGAGGTAGATGACTGAGAAGTCTCCGACTGGCTGTATCCAAGGCGCTGATTGACTTATTTCTGTTTTTAGCAGTCCATGAGTTCATGGCTATTGAAAATTCCTGTGTTCAACTCTTGTCAATTTATCGTGGCTCTGGCCTTTCAAGATATGTTTGGTGGCTCAGTGGGTAGCAGACCGTCCTCGTGTCAGTTGGTAATGGGTACAACTCCTCTTCCGAGCTGGAACTCAGTGACCTGTTGAGGGACGAAGGCAGGTCTTCCTCTCTTGTTATCGCTTGATCATTCTTGATTCATCAACATATCACTAAAACAGGGTATAATCATAGTGGTGTTTTTCGGATGTTGCTCCCTAAAGATTCGTTGCCATATTCTCCATGCTGCAGCAAGGACTGCTCGGTTTTTTAAGAATTTTATGTTTTTATTTCAGATTTTCTGCCTCTGCATTTTTTTTTTGTGTGCCGTGGCTTCTATTTTGCCATCCTCACTGCTGTTCAAATGTCTGATTTAAAAAGGGCAGTCAATGCAGGACTAAGGATGTTGTACTGAAATGCATGCAGTATTCAAACTGAGATAAATGAACTTGTATAGATTGAAATTGGCAAGTATGATGTTGTGGGTATCACAGAGACATGACTGCAACAGGATCAGAGTTGGGAACAAAATACCAAAGATACAGATCCTATTTAATGGATAGGCAGGTGAGCAAATGGGGAAGGATTGCCTTGTTACTAATAAATGAAATTAAATCAATAGCGAGAAGGGTTGTCGAGTTGGAAGGCATAGAATCTGTGTGATTGAGTTGAGAAACTGCAAAGGAAAAAAAAATCCATATTGGGAGTTGTGTACAGGCCTGCTAGCAGTAATCAGTATGTGGAGGAAAAAATAACCAGGAGATAGAAAATGCATGTAAGAAAAGCACTATTACAATAATCATGGGGAAAGTTCAATATGTGGTTGGAGTGGGCAAATCAGGTTGATGGGGATCTCAAGAAAAGGAATTCTTGAAATATATACAGGTAGTTTTGGTATGACCTGTTGGTTGTGTTCCTGTGTAACTGCACTGTAGAAAATTGCGCTATAGATGATCGCCATACCTGTACAGCAGAAAGCTCATGTTATCCAAACAGGGTTCACTAATTTGTCAATCGCATTATAGCCAATTTGCTTTGATGAAATACACAAAACTACCTGTATGAGATGGTTTTCTGGAGCTGCTTGTGATGGATCCCACTAGCATATAGGAAATCCTGGATTTGGTGATGCGTAATGATGCAGATTTAATTAGGAAGCTGAATGTGAAAGAACCCTCTAGGGAGCAATAACCATAATATGATAAAATTTACCCTGCAGTTTGAGAGGGAGTAACTGGAATCCAATGTAATGATGTTCAGTTGAGTAAAGGTAGCTACAAATACATGAGGGAGGAGCTGACCACAGTTAATTGGAAGCGTAGCCTAGCAAGGAAGGCAGTTTAGCAGCAGTGGCAGGAGTTTTCTGAGGGTAATTCTGGAGGCACAGCCAAAAATCATCCCAAGCAAGAAGAAACACACTAAGGGAGGATGAAGTAACTGTGGCTAACAAGGGTAGTCAGGCTAGCATAAAAGCAAATGATAAACATACAATTTGGTGAAGATTAGTGGGAAGCTTTTAAAAAACCATCAGGATAAGTAGAGAATATGAAATCATAGAATCCTTACAGTGTGGATGCAAGCCATTCAGCCCATTGAGTCAACACTGACCCTCCGCAGAGCATTCCACCCAGACCCACAGTCCTACCCTATCCCTGTAACCCTGCAATTCCAGTGGCTAACCCACCTAATCTGCACTCAATGGGCAATTTAGATTGACCAACCCACGCACCTGTGGGAGGAAACCCACGCAGACATGGGGAGAGTGTGTTAACTTCACACAGATGGTGACCTGAGGCCCCGGCACTGTGCGGCAGCAGTGCTAACCACTGAGCCACCGTGCCACCTGATCTGAGAGTAAGCTAGCTAGTAATATAAAAGAAGATTGTAGGAGTTTTTTGAGATATCTAAAAAGTATCTTTTAGGCATGAGTGGACAATGGACTACTGGAAAATGAGGCTGGAAAAGTAATAATGGGAAATAAAGAAATGGCAGAGGAACTGAATAGATATTTTGCATTAGTTTTGATAGTAAAAGACACCAGCAACATACCAGAACTTCGAGAGTCACAGGGTTGAGGTGAGTGTAGTGGCCGTCACTAAGGATAAGGTGCTGGGAGAGCTGAAAGGTCTGAAGGTGGCTAAATTACCTGGACTAATTAGGCAACACCACAGGGTTCTGAAGGAAAAAGGCCGAGGAGACTGTAGAGGCAGTGATGGTGATCTTCCAGGAATCTCTGGAGCCAGGAAGGGTCCCAGAAGACTGAAAAATGGCTAATGTAACACCCTGTTTAAGAAGGGATGGAAGTGGAAATAGGAAACTGTAGACCGGTTAGTCTACCCTTAGGTATTGGTAAGATTTTAGTGTCCATTATCAAAGATAGGATTGTGGAGTACTTGGAAGTGCATGACAAAATAGGACTGAGTCAGCATGACTTTGTCAAGGGGAAGTCATGCCCAACAAATCTGTTAGAATTCTTTTAGGAGATAATGAGCAAATTAGACAAAGGAGAGCCAGTGGACTGGATCTATTTGGACATCCAGAAAGCCTTTGACAAGGTGCAGCACAGGTGGCTGCTAAATAAGATAAGAACTCATGGTATTAAGGGCAAGGTACTGGCATGGATAGAGGATTGGCTGACTGGCAGAAGGCAAAGAATAGGGATAATGGGTCTTTTTCAGGATGGCAACTGGTGACTTTCCGCAGGGGTCAGTGTTGGAACCACAACTATTCATGTTATATATTAATGATCTGGAGAAAATAACTGTTGTTATTTTGTATTGTTACTAAGCTTGCAGATGAAACAAAGATCGGTGGAGGGACAGTGCTGAGGAAGCAGGGAGGCTAAAGAAGGACGTGGACAGGCGAGGAGAGAGGGTAAAGATGTGGCAGGTTGAATATGAAGTGGGAAAGTGAGGTTATGCACTTTGGTTGGATGATCTGAGTGTAGAGTATTTTATAAATGCGGAAAGGCTTCAGAAATCTGAAGCGCAAAGGGACTTGGGAGTCCTGGTTCAGGATTCTCTTAAGATTGACATGCAGCTTCAGTTGGCAGTTCGGAAGGCATTTGCAGTGTTAGCATTCGTTTTGGGGGGCTAGAGTACAGGAATAGAGGTGTACTGCTGAGGCTGTATAAGGCTTTCGTTAGAACACATTTAGAATATTATGAGCAATTTTGAACCCCGTATCTCGGAAGGAGTCCAAAGTACGTTCACAAGAATGCCACTGGAGATGTAAGGCTTGTCATCTGAAGGGCGGTTGAGGACTCTGAGTCTGTACTTGATGGAGTTCAGAAGGATGAGGATCTCATTGAAACTTGCAGAATACTGAGAGGCCTGGATAGAATTAACATGGATAGGATGTTTCTGCTTGTAAGAGAGACTAGGACCTGAGAGCACAGCGTCAGAGTCATAGAGTCATAGAGATCTACAGCTCAGAGAGTGATAGACATCTGGAACTCACTGCTTAAAAGGATGGAAGAAATTGGAATCCTCAAGACATTTGGAGGACTATTTAGATATGCAGTTGAAGCACCATAACATTTCAAGACCAAGTGCTGGAGAATGGATTTGAATAGATGGATGTTTAATGACCAGCACAGTAATGTTGAATTGAAGTGCCTTTTTCCTTGCTGTAAAATGCATCTATGACTCTCTATGACCATTTGCAACTCCTCAGACACTGAAGCAGTAAGTATACATGTGCAGCAAGACAATATCCAAGTTTGGTCTGTTAAGTGACGAATGATACTTGTGTCACACAAATGCGAGGCTAAGATTTCTCCAATAAGAGAGAATATAGCTATCGCTACCTGGATGTTCAATGACATTACCATCGCTGAACTCCCCACTATCAACATCCTGAAGGCTGCCATTGACCAGAAACTGAATCGGAAAAGCCTGTCCATGATTTTTGGCAGTATTAGGCAAGAACTTTCAAAAGTTGATTGGGGGTGGATGTTTGGCTGGAAATTGGGAAGCATTCACAAGCGAGATAATGAGAGTCCAGAGACAGTATGTTCCTGTTAGAGTGAAGGGAAAGGCTGATAGGTGTTGGGAGTGCTGGTTGACTAGACCAGCTGAGGTTTTGGTCAAGAAAAAGAAGGAAGCACATGTCAGGTATAGACAGCAGGGATTGAGTGAATCCCTAGAAGAATATAAAGGCAGTAGGAGTGCACTTAAGAGGGAAATCAGGAGGGCAAAAAGGGGACATGGAATAGCTTTGACAAATAGGGTTAAGGAGAATCCAAAGAGAATCTACAAATACATTAAGGACAAAAGGGGTAACTAGGTAGAGAATAGGGCCCCTTAAAGATCACCAAGGCCACCTATATGAGGAACCGCAGGAAATGGGGGAAATACTAAATGGGTATTTTGCATCAATGTTTACAATGGAGAAGGATGTGGAAGATAGAGAACTTGGGGAAATAAGTAGCGAAAAATGTCCATATTATAGAGGTGGAGGTGCTGAACGTCTTAAACCGCATAAAGGTGGATAAATCCCTGGGACCTGATCAGGTGTACCCTGGAACTCTGTGTGAAGTGAGGGAAGAGATTGCTGGGCCCCTTGCTGAGATTATTTGTATCATCGATAGACGCACATGAGATGCCAGAGACTGGAGGTTGGCTAATGCTGTGCCACTATTTAAGAAAGATGGTAAGGAAAAGCCAGGGAACTATAGACTGGTCAACCTGACATTGGTGGTGGGCGAGTTGTTGGAGAGAATCCTAAGAAACAGGATTTGTATGTATTTGGAAAGGCAAGGATGGATTAGGGATAGCCAACATGGCTCTGTACATGGGAAATTGTGTCTCCCTATCTTGATTGAGT